AGGCAGGCGCGCCTTTGGCAGCCCGCCGTAGGCCCACGGGACGAGTATCATCTCATGCTGAGCCGTGAGACCAGACAAGGCTTCCTCTAAGCTTGCTTCGCTGTCAAATAAAAGGCAGAGCTGCTTCGTTAATTGCTCTGGCTGATTGCATCTTCCCAACTTCACGCAGTGCTTATTGTGCAGGCTGTGTTGCCCGTGCATCTATTTCCCGCCTTGTTCTGAGCGCCCCGCTAAATTGCACATGCCGTTTCTGCAATATTGTTTCTAAAGGCAGGCAGTATTTTTATTTAAATTCTTTTGGATAATAACAAAGTTGTAAAAAATAGAATGAGAAAAAGATGTCAGGAATGCATATCTGCTTTTGCATCACTTTATTTTTCAGATCGTGCAAGTAGCATGTAAACAACATTTGGATTTTACTTTAGTAGCTGGAAGCATAGTGACTTTTAACAGCTTAAGGGCTTATTCTGTTTCTGACTCTGCTCTTGCTTTGGGCAAGTCACAACACAGTCAGGTTTTAAAAAAGGGCCTCCAGTTTGGGGACCTGATTTCAGGCATTTGGGGCTTGATTTTCGTAACCTTCCAGGCATTCACAGCCCCTATGAGTTTCAGTGCAAGGAGTGGGTGCTGCAAATCAGGCTGAAGGTGACTGAATCTAAGCCATTTGAGCCTTTAAAGTTGACCTTGACACTGGGGCTTCTTTTCTAGTATATATGATTACTCTGAATGAACAGAGGAGGTGTTTGGAGAGCCTTACAAAAGTGGTATCAATGTATAAGTTACAATTTTTGCTATGTGTTTATATATTACTATAATGAATACAAATTTACTTGCTGTGGTGAAAAAGACAATGTTGAATCAGAAGAAATCAGCTTTCAAGTGATGGAGGTGAGGATGTCAGTTTTGAACTGAGGTAGCTGCAGTCCTGTTACACCTCTGCTGCAGGAGGACTATCCCTGCAGGTCACTTTGCTCACGTCACAGGGTTTAGAATTCTGCTGAGGCACTTTGAGTTGGGTGCCTGGTTGACCGGGGATGGTTCCTCTGAGAGACAGGCCAGCCTGCCTAAAATGAATCGGCCCTCCAAGCACTGATCTTTGTGGACTGAAGAGGAGCCCCAGGGTAACTTGTCTCCCTGCTTGGGTGACTCAGCTACCTGGGGGGGATGAACTGAAAACTTTGCGTATGAGTGATGAAGATGCTGAAATACAATTGTTTCTGGCTTGAGTTAGAAATATTGTTAAAGAAAGTCAGGGTGGGAGCGTCTTGGCTTGTGTTCCTCATCTGTAAAACAAAGCTTACCTGTTTCAGTCCTAGCTTGGCATACAGGCCATAATCTTAACATTGGAAATTAATTGAGCTTTCATTAGGGATGTTCCCCTAGAATCAATTATGATTTCATTAAATTTTAAAATCTATCAGAATTAACAAGTGAGGAAAAGTGAATGAAAAAAAGCCCAAATTTGGTTATGGAGAAAACATTATTGTTTAGCAGCCAAGGTGCCTATGTCTGTATCCAGCAAATTTTACTTCTGCTCTTCAGTGTTCACGAAAAGAAGCAAACAAAAATTAGCCTTGAACTCACAAGTTACGTAAAACAGGTGGCCTCAAAAACCCTTGCTCTCTACTGGGTATTTCTACTTCGGGGAGCCTCCATATAGCACAGCAAAATCAGCTGTTGTCATTCCCATCTCAGGAGAGGCTGTGAATAGCAGCACTGCATGGTCCAGGATATTAGATTTGGGTGAACTGGCAGAAAGCATGGGATGGCTTGGAAACACCTGTGTGCACTCATCAGTGTGCTCAGTCACACTTCAGCAGCTTTGAAATAACTCCCATCGTTTTAAAGCAGAAGGCACAGTATTTTGACAAATGAGATTCTCCCAAGCATCTTGGCTTTTCTGATACAAAGAAGTAGTGAGGGAGTGTGTTCACTTTCAGTGCATTGGCACTCCAGTCTATGAGTTGGGACTCTCACAGTGTTTCTGGATAGTGTGTCTCTGCAGATAGCCAGTTATTTGTGCCTTCAGAAAGATGTCGGTGCTCAAAACTTGATCATTGAGCAGGGAGATGAAAGATTTTTCTTCAGTAAATTCTAATTGCTTATATAAAATAAGGACATAGTTATATTGTTAGTTTGTAATGTCACAGAAAAGGCAACTTTTTTAGTTTATGATATGTCAACACTGGGATATTTCTTTCAACAAGGTGAAGATGGCTTTTTGACTTGGCTCACCATGTTTTCCTATGTAGATGTTTGACTATGGTAGAATATTGCAGTAGACGCCTTGGTCTTCAGAAATGTCAGAAGAATGGTTTTGGTACTGAGACCATGGTATCAGCAGGTACCAAGACAAAAGCAACAAAGAGCACAATCATGTTTAACTAGCAAGACAAATGCCAGACTACCCCCAGGGCAGGACGTGGTAATAAAATCCCATCTTCAACTCCTCTTTTTGTTCCGCTGTTCCCCCTTTTCCTGCTGCAGTGCTGAAGTGCTGCATACCTTGGATAAAGTATAACCACTTAAATTTAAATAAGATGAGCAAAAAGAATGATGTCGTTGTGATCAAATAGTTGTTGCCTAATCTCGTTGGTTGCAAATAGAGTAAGCCAAGCCATTGAATTGTGCCTCTGGAACTGAGAAGGCTGATGTTTATTTAATATTTACTATGGTTTGAAAGTCATATTATGTAAAAACGGTCAGATTGAAGCTTTTGAAACAGCTGTACCCTCTGGCTGCACAATGGAATGGCTGAATGTCGACTGAGCACTTCTGCTGAGTAAACCAGTGGAGCTTTCTAATATTAGCTATCTGCTGAAGTGGTTAGTTGAAATATGCAGATATATAATCAGTGCTCTCTTGCCAAACATCTTCCCTTTCCTGTGTCTCTGTTTCATGCACATGTTAGGTGATGTAGGCATCAAGCTGAGGGCCCACCTCCTATGCCACTTGACTATTTTTTGTGTAGCCACAGGTGTCATGGTGTTATTGCAAATAAGTTGCGCAATACGCTTTCTTTCCGTGCCACTTTAGCCTCATACTCAGAAGTGGGAGCTAGGTCCATAGGAAAAGAGAAGGACTTGACTTGCCGTTCTGTATTTCTGTCTCTTTCTTTAACAGAACAGGCGTAAAGGGAACAGGTGTATTCTTACCAGTGCTGTATAAAGTTCTTACCAGTGCTGTATAAAGGTGTATTCTTACCAGTGCTGTATAAAGTAGGGTAGATACACTGCTGACTCAGTGTCCCACCAGGAAACTGTTGCTCTGATCTCTTTACAAACAATGTCACAGCTTTCATAGGGAAAAATATGCTGGTTGACTTTTGGTGGTGGAATGCAGCTGGTGAAATGCTGCAGGGCCAGTGCTACAGATGAGTTTTTGCAGAGCAGCGTGTGAGGAGTCATCCAGTAGCAGATCTGTGGTAGAACGACATGCTGCCTCTCAGTGAGCCTTTGTGCAATTACCGAATTTGATTCTGATCTCTCTCTTTGTTGAAATAAAGAGAACAAATCTCATGTTAAATTAAAGGAAGAAAAGCCAGAATCAAAACCTCACCTTTTCAAAAGCTATAGAAATTGATTAATTTTTTTTTGTGTTCTAAATTACATTGTTGTGGATTTTCTTATCTCTTCCTACCTGTAGTGTGAAGAATTTGCATTTCCTCCCCCTACTCCCAACCCCGAGAGTAGCGTTTTAGTGTTCCCAAACCTTTGCAATGCAATGAATTTTTCTCTGCCAATGAACTTCAGCATCCTTTGTCAAGCTGGGGATGTTTATAACTTAAGTAAGGTCAGCAGATGTTGCCATGGATTTTTTACTTCACAAGCTAAGGAGGAATTAAATTTGGCAACTGTAGCTGAGATTCTCAGTGATTTACAGTGCTCACTAGACAGTGAAGTTTTTCTGTAGAAATAACAAGTCCATAGGTCTGAGTTAATTGCTGTTTTTCAGTGCAATTACCCTGTGTGATACCTCTTCAGTTCTGCACTATCGTAAAATGTGAGTCCTGGCAGTAATCAGTATTATCTTTTCATCTGGCATTTGGAGCTCTGTTAGTGGTTGTTTGTGTGGAATGATAACATTTGTTGACACTAATTTATAATGAAATTATTCTTTAAAAAGGAAAGAACAGTCTGGTTACTTGCATCTCTATGGTCTTGATTTTTTTTTCCAGTCACACCTATAAAAAAGAAAATTTATTTGATAAGGCTCATTAAAAGGTAACTGATGTTTCTGATAAACCTGAAGTACCATAGTAACTTGAAAAACATTCATTATTGTGTGTTTCTGTTTATGACAGAATGCAAAGTCTGGCGAAATCCTTTAAATCTGTTCAGAGGAGCTGAATATAATCGGTAAGTGCTACAGTGTTACAGTTTCAGGCATAGTACTGGGTTAAGGACCTTGATTTTACTTTTCCATCAATCTAACTCAGAGGTGGAATAACAAAAACAACTGTGGACACATGTGCCAGCTCTTTCTGTCATTTGTAAAATGTTTCTGAATTAAAAGGAATTTAAATTCATGCTCATGCACTTGTTATTTCTGCAATTTTTGGTGATCTTATAAAAAAACAGAAAACCTAAGTGCGGTGTACCTGGTACTGTTAATACAGTAATTCTGTTCTAATCGTTTATAGCAAACAACCGAATGAATTATATCTAGGTTTCATGTAGTCTTAATGTTTGAATTTGTGTGTTACCAATTTCCAGTGTGTACTTTCCAACATCCTCATTACCTTAGGTTCAACTACTGTCGCTCCATCGCAGTACAGTGAAATGCAATGTATGTCGGTTAGGAGATTGGCTGGATGAACCTAGTAGGCTATGCCCATCTCTAACATCTCTAGGATTCTTTTCTGGATTCATTTTGCTGAATGTGACCTCATTAACCAATATGTCTCTTTGTTGGCATATTTGCAGCTATACATGGGTAACAGGGAGAGAACCTTTGACTTACTACGATATGAATCTTTCAGCACAGGACCATCAGACATTCTTTACATGTGACACGGATCATTTACGGCCTGCAGACGCTAGTAAGAGACCTTGTGAACAACTGTTTTTGCTAGTAGGTTAATGATTGTTTTAATCTGATGCAGGAAAAATGCAGTCAGACATAAGTTCTCTTGGGTACATAAGGAAAGGCAAAAGTTTGATCATGCCTGGAAAGCTGTTGCTGTTAGATTCATAGTATTCTAGATCTGAACAAGTATCTATATAGGTATAACCTATGTAATTTGTGTCACTATTTTGTTCTACTTTCTTGCTGAAGTTGTTCAAGGTACTATCTGCAAGTGTAAAGACTTGTTTTTTTCCTCCTGTTTCTTGCAGTGACTTCAAATATGTATAGCTTAATTTTCCTCCAGCTGCAGTGTAGTACGTTGAGTTACATTATCCAGGTCCCATTTAGTCTACACTGACAGAAGAGAGAGAGCTTATGTAAAACTTCAGTCCTGTGTTTCATTCCCTGATGTAGTTAGAAGGTCTGTAAAAAAATGGGAACAACACATTTGCAACTGAATTTGATGTAAGCAGCTTTAGTTGTATTAAGCCTTTACTGTTAAGTCCACGTCCAAACTTTGGTTCTGCTAAAAATGTACAATGATTTTGATCATCAGAATTTGTCTCTGAAGAGACAAATCTTCTTTGTCTCTTGGGAAAGGAGAGATACTGACAGTTGCGCGCTACATTCTGAGGGCATAATTACAAAGGAGGACGTGCTGTGGTTTTTTGACAAACGATAAACATGAATCCTATTTTTTGAACTCAGTAGGCTAATTATGAGGTGACCTGATTAGCCTGGATGTTGTTTCCATTTAACATTCACCTAAAGCAATAGCACAGTAAGGAACTAGAGTAAGAATCCCAACTATCCTTGTGTTCTTTTGTGCCCTGTGGAATCTACTTCCCCAAGAGGAAGAAGCTGCTCATCGCCTCTGTATGTGACAGTGCAGATGGCATGATCTCTCAGCCAGATTTTCCCATGGAAAAAAGTGTAATTAAATGAAAAAATAAAGCTGCATATTTGGGACAAAAGCTCATGTTCATTATGTATCTTTTGAGTGTTCACTGAGCTCTTTGAAATGCTCTGGAGTGAGTCAGGCTGAGAGCAATAAATTCTGTTGTTTTAATGCAGTAGATTCTCCTTGTTAACGCTGGAATGACTGATATGACCCTTTCTGCCTTTTTTATTGAATAGTAATGCAAAAAGCCTGGAGAGAGAGAAACCCCCAAGCCCGAATTTCTGCAGCACATGAAGCTTTGGAATTGAATGAGTGAGTGACAACACCACTAACATTTATTTCCTGTCATTTAAAAATTCATTTGATGATAGCTTAAGGCAGGGGTTTGCTACAGTAATTTTTACCCATGATTACAGGCCTGTCACAGAAAGGCCTACAATGGGAGGAAAATGCCCAGCTGCATGTCGTGCTAGCCACCCAGAAGATCCTTAGGGCAGTGATGACAGTGGGAGTCTTCCCATTGAAGTCAGTGTGCTTTGGATCAGCGTAGCGAAGTGTTAATTAAGTTGCCTCTTGATGAGCATATGAAATATGTATTTATGGCTTGGAGAGTTCCCTTTTGGATTTCTCAGTCATCCTGAAAAGAGGCAGGAAAGAAGGGACTCATAAACACCTGAAATATTCAGTTCATAGTGTGAGAGAATATGATGTAATTTTCTGGGACTTTTGGTCTTTGAGTCCGTTATTTATTTTCTCAATGAGAAGCGTAGTATTCTGATATCCCACAATAAACTCAATGCTGTGATGCTTTACTGGCATGGCAAACTGTATAAATGTTGCCAAAGTGCATGAAGTGGAAGAGAGTCCCTTAGGTTGCTCTTGGAGATGACTGCATTCTAGAATTCCATAAACTGGTGCCTTACGGATTGTCCTTCATGTGTTTTGTCAGAAGGAGAAAAAGAATTGTTTGTTCCTGGGCAGCAGTTTAACAGAGGGAGCACGTAGCATAAAAGGCTTTTGCAGAAGTAAGCTATAAGCCTATCCTGTTCTACTTGCATATTGCAGAATAACAGAATGCTTGAGGTTGGCAGAGACCTCTGGAGGTCATCTGGTTCAATCCCCCTGCTCAAGCAGGCCCACCTACAGCACATTTCAGTGTGCAGATGGCTTTTGAATTTCTCCAAGGAGGGAGACTCCACAAACTCACTGGGCAACCCATGCCAGTGCTCAGTCACCCTTACAGTAAAAAAGTGTTTCCCAATGTTCAGACAGAGCTTCCTTGTTTCAGTTTGTATCCATTCCCTCTGGTCCTGTCACTAGGCATCACTGGAAAGAGCCTGGTTCCACCCTCTTTGCACCCTTCCTTCAAGTGTTTAGAAATACTGATGAGGTTCCCCCCCCCCCCCCGAGCCTTCTCTTCTTTAGGCCGGACAGTCCCAGCTCTCTCAGCCTTTCCTCATGTGAGATGCTCCATTCCCTTAGTCATCTTCATGGCCTTTGCTGGACTGTCTCCAGTATGTACATGTCTCTCTTGTACTGAGGAGCCCAGAACTGGACACAGTGCTCCAGGTGTGGCCTCACCAGTGCTGAGTGGAGGGGAAGGATCGCATCCCTCAACCTGCTGGCAGCACTCCTCCTAATTCAGCTCAGGTTGCCATTAGCCTTCTTTGTAGCAAGGGCACATTGCTGGCTCATGTTGAACTTGGTGTCCATCAGGACCCCTAAGTCCTTTTCTACCAAGCTGCCCTCCAGCTGGGTGTCCCACAGCAAGTATTGGTGCCTGCAATCTCTTTTTCACCTGGACCAGTTGTTTCCTGTTCCTCAGCTGATGTCTCTTTGTGAAATGCAACTAGAGGCAGCTGCAACCTGATTCTATTTCTGTATAAAGAAGAATCTTATCAGCAGTCTGCTTTGTATTAGAAAGGAGTCAACAGGCTATATTTCACCTAAGTTCAGCAGCTAAAAATGTGGACATTGAGTTTAAAGTAGTTGCTTGAGCTCACTCTATAGTCAATGAGAGAAGTAGCTCTATTCAGCAGTTCACCCTATTCTTGGAGATGTTTAAACACGTGACATAAATGGCTTTGTGAAAATTCTCCTTGATGGAGGTGGAGTGGCGCAGATAGTTAAAAGATCTAAATTAAACAGCTGAAAGCTGGATGAGGTGACACCCACCACGCATTTCACCGTTCTGTGTATTCCTAAAGCTGCTTTCCTGTTTTTGGGGGGGGGTGGGGAGATTTGTTTTTGTTTTTTCATCTCTACAATTAGATTCATAATCTGTTCTTTGCATATGGCAAGCGTTACAGGTCTATTGATTCTTTTCATACCAATACAGTAATGGAGACATTTTGTGTTAAAACAATAATGCATAAAACTAGTCTTGCTTTCCAGAAGGAGTTTTAGTAATGTAGGCCATGATTGCTTAATGAGACAGTGCTTTACTTTCTGGGGCAGTTGTCAGTAGGCTTACTCAAATGGCTGAGTGATATAGTACCTACAAACAACAGTTGTGATCTGGTTGCCAGAATATTTATTTATCAGAATAGTTCACCAGAAAAGTATATAGACAAAACTCCATTGCCTCTGTATTTGGTATATCCTTGCCATTCTGCATGTCTTTGTATAGCTTTTACTTCATGCAACTTTCTCATGGGTTTTCCTCTGATATTTTTGCAGGTGTGCTACAGCCTATATTCTCTTGGCTGAAGAGGAAGCGACAACGATTGTAGAAGCAGAGAAGCTCTTCAAGCAAGCTCTGAAAGCTGGAGAGGGTTGTTACAGGCGCAGTCAGCAATTACAGCACCATGGTGCCCAGTATGAAGCCCAACACAGTAAGTTTCTTTGGAGGGAATAGCCATTTCTAAAGGGATAGAAGTTCTGGGGAGTTCTTTGGGTTTTGGTTCCCTCCCCTGAACTACGTATGCAGTATTTCACATTGGCTGGAATATGACCTTAGAGCCAGACTATTCTGTTTCATGGTTTTTACTTGATTCTGTTGCTGAGCTAGCAATGCTCTGATTACAGATGCACCTTTTCTTTGTCGTGGCAGAAAATATTGTAACATGTACTTAACAGAAAAGAAAAGGTAGCAGAGCCAAAAGAGATCTGATATTCAGAAAATGCTGGATGCTGTTTTAGGAATTTGCACTGAAGTGCCTTTAGCCATTTTGAAAACATGGGCTCATGTTGTGAAAAGGCAATAAAGAATGATAGAAACAGAAGCAAAGCGATGCTTTGCCAGCTTTTTTCCATCAGCTGTGAGGGTAAATAAGTACACCACATTGTTCTGTGTAAAAGTTAATGAGACCCATTAACCAGTGTGACATTTGAAAAGTTAGTTGCATACATTAAGAAAGGTCACAGAAACATAAAAATTAACAACAGGAATAATACCGTGTTCTTATTGAAAGTGTAGTTGTTGGAGTTTTTTAAGTTTTGAATAAGCAGATTTAGCTGCTGCGATATTTGTTAGATGCTTCTTAAACCTAAGAAAATACATGAGGGATCACTGCCAGTAAATGAACAAAAACATAAATAAAGCAAACGGTCTGGGTTATTTCTAGTCTACAATGGCTACCTTGGGTAAAAATAATACCAGTTAATTACATAAGTACAAGCACTAACATACTTTGGGCATCTTCAGGTTCCTTAGGACCTGAATTCACAGCCTCTGGCTATCTCGCATGATTTGAAGATTGCTGATAAAAATTGTACATAGTGAAATTGTCTGTGATCTCTGGTTTCAAAAGTGTACACAAGTCTATACCTGAAAACCTGAGGTCTTATAAAGCTTGGGGGTAGCATTTTAGACGTTTGTTGGTTATAATATGATATTTAGCATGATTTGCTTATTTTTGGAGAAAATAGAAATGCAGAGCAGCTGAGCCCTTGAAGCAATTTTCAGGCTCTAGCAGGCTTATGGTTGTCTGTGAAACCTTAATTTGTGCACTCAATCCATCCTAAGCACAGAAAATGACAGTGATTCTATGAAAAATACACAATGAGAGTACTTAAACACTGTCACCATGCTTATGTCCAAGATAACATGGTTAAGTTTGTGCAGGCAAATATAAGTACGGTATTTTTGTAACCTGTGTGTACTAGATGACTGCTGTCATCACCAAATTTGACACCTTCAGTATTACTGAACCTTCAGTATTACAGTAGAGGAAGCACCCAGTTGAATCGCAAAGTTAAGTGCATTGTCACAGAGCAGGAGGGGCTGAAAAGTGACTGCCAGCTCTGACTGTGGCTTCAGGAGGGGCTAGATCGTCGCGCTTCTCTATATTACGCAGCCTCTCCTTGATAATGTCAGTGTGTACCCACAGAAGTCAGAGAAGTTCTAGCCTTGGATGGTGCCTTGGACACAGGGGCTTCAAGTAGGATTCTGTTGATTATATACTGGACTTCTGCATGGTTTACAAAGGTGGAGAGCTCAGCTCTCTTTAGAGAGGAAAGGCCATGGACAGATGTGTTGCAGTTACTTCATGGTTCTGAGATGTCTGTCATTCTGTATCTGGTCCTTGAAGTTGACTTTGGGATGAAAAGCGGGTATTTAATCTTTTACAGGTGAAGAACACTGTAATTTCTTGAACAACAGCATATTGCTCTATATTTCTGTTTATTTGTGTGTTCCATCTCCTTCATACAGTATTTTATGTTAGACCATGAATTTAAAGAGTAAATAATGACTCTGAATACCCAACTTAACCCCTTTCAAAAGGTGCTTGTTTACAGAAAGTGTGGGCAATCTTCTTTTTAAGGTGGCTCATGTTAGTCACCCCAAATCATTAGTCACCTCAGAAAATTTTGGCCTGAAAGTTTATCTTGATTTCACAGTAAGTGAAAGGACTGAAAAGAAGCTTGGCCTGAGATGTATACCTCTTAGTTACACTACATAAACATGTTGAAACAGATTTAACTAATAAATTGTGTATTAAATATATAGGAATCAATACAGAGATAAGGAATTACATAATAGAAAATACAGCTAAAAAAATTCCTTCCCTCCCTTATTTATTTTTTCTTCTAAAGTCAAACCTTTCAACCTGCTGCTTAATCTATCTGAAAATTGTAATCACAGCTTTAGAACAATTTGTAGGTACTTGGAATGCTTTCAGTGCACATCTTGTTCTTATTATGAAAGGCTTGAAAATGTTAGGAACAGACTAAATCTTTACAAACTGCATACTATCCACAAAGATAATTTGTAGCAGGTGTCTTATATTTTCACAATATGGTAATTTTATAGATGATTAGCTGTCTGCACATTTCCTCTTGGTCCAGAAGCATGTTAAGAGTTCACATTGGAATTATAGGGAAGAGAATGAGAAATGAAACAAGTAGAAATTCTCCAAGAGAATAATTATTGCAGCTGTTTGGTTTCTGGCATCTTTGCTGTTAGGGCATCTTCAAGCACATAGGACTGTCATATCCGAAACATGTTAATTCGCCATCCATAATTAGCAGTGTGAGGAATTTGAAGATGATAACTGGGTAAGAAGTAAAGGCTATGTAAACAGAAAGTTCAGAGTATACTTCTTTTCTTCTAGTCATTAAGGAAAAAGAGTGTTAGAGGATGAGGATTTGTTTTGCTGCATCTCCTATTAACAAGCGTGTATGTCATAACTTACAAAAAAGGCAAGATATAACATGCATTTTCATGGATGCTCTTGTCTTAACCATGTATGTGAATTGGTAAGTAATTTAATGCTGTGTGTGTGACCACAGAGTTTTGTGCCAATGTTAATTTCATGGGGGTTCTCCTTGCCTCACATGATTACTTCATGGTCTATACCCTGTAGCGTTCTCTGTCCCTTCAGATCTGCTTATATTTCATAGGTGTAAGGCCAACCCACGTGTCCTTATTTATACCACTATGTATCTGGAGTAATTCCACTGATTTCAGTGTCACATCTAAATCAGCAGAATTTTATAAATTTTTATTAAAATTATCGTGAAAGCATTGATAATAGCAAATAACAAAAAATGGCAAGAAAACTGTTTCCTTTTGTGTTGGAATGTTAAACGAACCTTTGTTTTACCTTTTTTATCTTAATGCTGTTTCTTTTTCCTCTTATACAGGAAGGGACACCAATGTTTTAGTTTATATTAAGAGGAGGCTGGCAATGTGTGCAAGAAAGCTGGGAAGGACCAGGGAAGCAGTGAAAATGATGAGAGATGTGAGTTTGGATTTGTTTCGCATGTGATACTTAGATAATAGTAGCATAGAAATGATACCCATTTGCTTACAAGTTAGCATCTGTTCCTGCTGCATGCGGCACTGCTGATAGTAATTTTGTATGTGTAATGTACATAAAGGTTAAGAGATCATTTATAATGTTGCGAAAGCAACACTATGAAGCCATAAAATACCAGATGGGCAGTTGCCCGTACAGACTGAATTTCCCATCCTGGTACATGTGCAATGGAGTGCAGTCTTTAGTTATTTGATCATGAAGTTGCTTTTTTTTTCTGAAGCATGTAATGAATGCGGCTAACAATAAACAGGTCTTAAGTATTCTGTTTCCTCCTTGCAAAGCTGCAGTTTGGCTCTGTGCATTTTTTACATCATGCTATTCAGACCTGAGGACAGTGTTATTTATTCATGCAAAACCTATTACTGAGAAGTCAAAACCAAATAATTAATCTATAATGAACTGATTTTCAACACACGAAAAAACTTCTTTACAGTTCGGGTGACAGAGCACTGGCACAGGCTGCCCAGGGAGGTTGTGGAGTCTCCTTCTCTGGAGATTTTCAAAACCTGCCTGGATGCAGTCCTGAGTAATGTGCTCTAGGCAATCCTGCTTCAGCAGGGGAGTTGGACTAGATGATCTCTAGAGGTCCCTTCCAACTCTGGAAATTCTGTGATTCTGTGTGATTCCCACTGAGATGGGAGACAATTATATCCCTGTTTTGTAGGCAGGGGAGCTACCAATGGTAGTCACAAGTCAGTAACCTCCAAAACTACAAATTTGAAACACCAAACAGTAGCTGTTTTGGGGATGGCAGGAGGGGCAGCTGTCCACATAAGGCACTGTATATCTTTCAAGTGTGCAAAACACTTAAGTTTAGAGATAGCTGCAAATGCCCAGCATTTCTTCAAGTGAAATCCCCTGAATGCAGATTAGGAACACAATTCTTTGAGGAGGTGGCTTGCCTCACCCGAGGTAGCAAGTCTGTGACAGAAGGAGAAATGGAGCCCTAGAGCTCTGGGCAGATGATGGCAAAACTGCTTACCAGTTTCCTGTGTTCTCCTTTCTTACACTTGTTTTCCAGCTTGCACAAAAGTGAGGTAGAGATGAATCTGGCAAGGTAAAGACTTCTGCTGAGTTAAGAGTTAAGCTGAAGCACCTAAATTTTAAATGTACAAAATGGAATCCCAGACCAGAACGAAGCACCTGTAAAGTGTGCTTTAGGCAGCTCAGATGAATGGTCCCAAAACCTGCCTTGTGAAAAGGGAAATTCTTGCTGCAAGTCAGTGGGAATTTTAATGTAAAAAGGCAAGTGACTTTCTCTGGAGCTTAGGCTCTTGCATCAACAGCAGTAGGGGAAGTATGCCTGCCAGCCTGGAATCCAGCACCCAGCATCTTCTCCTACAAATGTGGCACTCATGATTATTTTTTGAAAACACTGAGCAAAGTTCATCATAATAATGCAGGTCATCATCCTAAATAACGTACCAGATGGCAAGTGGTGAGTAACTTTGTTTGCTGTCTCTAGCCGGGGTTTTTCAGGCACACAACGCTCAATCCCCAGAATCACTAAGCTCTCTTGAAAAAGAACTTGTCAAAAACCCAGCCATTGTACAGCTAGGAGTGTAAGAAAGAGGGACGAGGAAGAAAGACCTGGTTTTGCAGTCTTGTGATCAGCTGGGAGAACGTTGATTTCAAAAATGTTGTTTTCAGTCCAACCAGCTCCACTGATTCTTCATGAATTTTGTTACGCAGGCACTCTGGGACAAATACTGCAATGTTTGGGGACAAACATTGGAATTCTAAGTTCTGGCGTTAATAGACAAGAAAGATAAAGTTTTGAATTTCACATTTAAATGTCACACATCATAATTATGGCAACTTCTGGAGCTTACTATGGGTTGCTGAATGTGTCTTGTGATTTGTAGATAGGGCGATGTGGAACAGATACTCTGTAAAGCCTTCTGCTGATGTCAATATGTATAGTTAATTGGGTCTGCAGAGCGCTGGATTCAGGAACTTGGGTGGTCCATCTAGTCCCAGGTTTCTTATGCAAAGTGAGACCCAGAATGCTTTTATAATAAGAATGATTTACTCTGCCACTAGAGAGAAAATTTTGTGTTGTTGAATTTGTTGTACAATTTGGATCTTGAAAAGCAACAATGACAGGGAGACCCAAAGTCATAGTTTATTAGACACTTGAAGGACGGAAAACACTCTCCCCAGTAGGAATGTATTGCTAAAGTGAGAGGACTGGATGCAAGACAAAGGAGGTATAAAGATAGAATTTCAGCTTCTAGAGCTTCAACTCAGATCAATGCATTCTGTATTTTTCCACATACAGACACGGAGCCAAATGCCCCTAAGAGCTCTTCGTTGTAAGCAAGCAAAGCTGAGAATTAGCCGTTCCCTGGGTGAAATATAAAAGCAGCAGTATCTCTAGGTCACAACTCCAGTACGCTGGGAGCAAGAGAAGGGTCAAGTCAGCTTTGCAGATGCTTTTGTTAGACTGACTTGGAGCTACTTATTTCTGATGAATGCATATCCTCCATTTCTTCATAGAAGACATAAATAATATACTTACGAAGAAGTCTGAAGAACATGAATGTGTCATTGAAGGTTTCCATGTGATTGATGAGGGAGGAGATGAATTTATTCACCCTAAAAAGAATATGAAGAATATGTTGGCTGGGGACTGCTGAATCTAGCATCAGGGGACAGAGGGCGGAGGCCCTGTTTGTGTTTGAAAGATTGAAAACAGATTTCTCAAAACATGGAACATGATGGAAATGAAGTGTTAAGAGGTTCATGACACCATCTGGGAAATATGATCGGGATGTAGTGAGTCTTTGCCACTTTAAAAAATAAAATATTTGAGAGTGTTTAATTCATTGCATATATGAGGCCATCTTGGGGACATTACTGATGTATTAGATTGTCTTACGTGAATTTTATATAAGAAAAGACTGAGATCCTGCATAAAACACCTTAATGGAAAGAAAATGAGTTGCTGGTGACTTAAATAAGATTTTGATTTTATGGTTATGTACACTGCTGATAGGAAAATCATATTCTTTAATATTATATTGAAAACAGTTTTAAAGAACTTAAAAATGCTTTGGTGATTGATTTTGAGATAGTGTTTTGTTGCTGGCTTTGCTGCTTGGATATCATTGATTTAGTTGAGTTGAATTAATGAGAATTACGAATCTGTAATTTTCATGGAAGCATGTAATTGAATCATACATAGGTGTTGCTTTTGCTTGTATTTCTGATGATAATTATTTACTATATTTTGCTATAGAAACCAGCAGCTGTCACTATTTGTATATATTGAGCTAACTTGTGATCTCATTTTGATTAGTGTATTGTTGGAATAACTCCAGTCTAGCCAACAGAGTTTTTCCAATTTTATTCCTGTTTATATAGAGTATGATATGGTCTGTGAGGGAACTAGATCTCTTTTACTGTCCCTGAGGAGAAAGTCTACAGCGCTGGTTGTTTTATTTGTTGTGCTGATTATGTTAGGAGGAATTAAACTAGTGTGTTCTGAATGAAGTTGGAAAATTTGGTATGCGCAGAGGTGAAAGTCCTTGGTGGTGGCTGTGGGGGATCTTCAGTATCCCTTCATGTTGGATCTTTGTTGTGGACAGCCTAGTAGCTACATGCTGATGAGCAGGGGTGGCCTTTCTGTACCAGCTGCTCTCTGGCTGGTCTCTACTGATTCCGTCGCCATTACAATGGAAGAAAAGTATGCTGGGTTTGTGTTTCATGGTTTTCATTGATTAAAGACAGAGAGGATGTGGAGGGTATGCAAAAGCACTTCTCTCTGTATTTTTCGGGTGACTGGATCAGTGATTGCGCTACTGACTGGGTCACTGGAGTATCCAGGTTAAAATGTTCCATGCAAGAAAGTGAATTGTCAATTTGTCAAAAATGAGCTGCTTTGGATTGTTCTGGAACAAGCATTCATTGGAGGGTGATGTATGTTAAGGAAAGAGAAGGGTGGCAGCCAGAAGGTATGCTAGCAGACACAGTGAACAGAAGCTCTTAATTGCTCCCTCTTTCAGAGAGAAGATGAAAGAAACTCATTCTAGAGTGTCTTTATCTCCTACCCCATGGCCCTGCGCTCTCTTGAAGACTGCTTTGTAGTCTTAACAAGTCTAACTGTGTTTCTGAGACACAGTGGAATTGCAACTTGCCCCATGCTTTGCAGCTTTGTTTAGAAACGAGTGAGATTTGGGGAGGGAAGAGACTCTCCAAGTTTTTCCTCAGCTCTGAAGAAGGATACAACCCAAAACACTTTTTAAGGGTCAGAAGAGTACATTTTAGTTCTGGGATCGGTCATATCTACTGAGAAATTACTCTTCAGCTCACAGTAAAAGACCTAGAAGTCTAATTCTGTGTACCTAGCTCCGAGAATCTTGCTGGGGATATTTCAGTTGGATGTGTTTATGTGTTCATCTCAATGCCCACTTGCAGTCTCTAAATGTGTATTTTACGCCACAGGAGACACTAAGGAATTATCAGTACCTAAGCAGCTGGTATTGTTAGGGTGCTGCATGCTTATCAATGGGCTGCATGGTAAGTTGTTTAAATACTCAGGCTGCCCTGAGTATTTAAATTGGTTTAAAAGGTTATGTCACTTGAAGGCTTCAAAAGGGTACTCATCCATACTAAATCAGTTTTAGTGATATGGGTAGGTTGAGTTTTTATCTTTTTACAGCCAGCGGTATTAGTGATTTTTGCTGGTATGATGCTTCTGCAAATCTAGCATACTTTCTTGGCAGCCCCTTTTGCTGGGCTTTGCATTTGGCTTTTTGTTCAATATTCTTTTGAATTCTGTATTCTTGTGCTCATTGCTGATTTGCTCTTGGCTAATGGGATTGCATAGCCGGGACGGTGTTCCGCACCGTGAATTATCAAGCAGTGTGAAACAAAGAGAATACTAATTGCTAATAAAGATGTTATGATCCCTAGCAACT